TCAGTCCTCTTGCCCTAAGTCATGAAAGAGGGGTACTGGTTTCCAGTTCCCTGAAAGACCAGGGCCAGGAGCCTGCTCTGCCTGTGGCAAAGGAGACGGGTCCAGAGAGGTGCCCACAGCAATCTGGAGGACCCACATCCCCATCCGACACCCAACTGGCATGCAGGGAGAGGCAGAGCCCCTCACCTTCAGGCCTTCCTCCTGGGGAGTAAAGGACACATGCGAAGATCCCCTCCCTGCAGATTTACAGCCTGAGGTCTCCATCCCTGTGGACTCTCCAAGGGCTGATGAGGTTGAGCTTTCTCATCCCCCAGCTGCCTCCCTTGCACTGTGCTTCCTTACAGAAGGGATGCAAGAGCTTCTCCAGGTCCCGTCTGCTCCAAAGGGCAGCACTTGTCCCTTCCTCCCAGGTCTCTTCCTGGGTCAGGTGTGGTGCAGCACTATGGAGGGGCCTCCAAGTTCACCGCCCCTGGCCAACCCCCACCCCTCCCTCCAGGGCTTCTTGGGGTATGCAAAGCCAAGAGTGCCCTGTGGCCCTTCCTCCTGCTCTCCTGCCCTTTGGAGAGGATCAGCTCAGCCAGACAAAACAGAGCAGCCATTGGTTCAGGGAAGGATGGAGGATTCCCAGTGTCTGCGCTGGAGGAGCCCAGCCCTGCTCCCTCTCCGAGGTGCCCATCCCAGGGTGAGGAAGGATTGGGGTGGTGGCCCCAAGGAGACCTGGCAGCAGGGGTTAGCATCCAGCTGGGTTTCAGATTTTGTGGACCTCCACTGGGCTGGGGACTGCCAGGTCCCTCCGACAGCCAAGTCAGAGTCCTGGACTAGAGCTGCCGGGGCTCACTGAGGGGGACGGGCTGTGGGGCACACAGCAGCCAGGGACAAGACAGGAACTAGGTCTCCCACATCTGCTCTTCAGTGTGGGCTGGGCTTTCCTGCCTACACCAGACAGCCCTCAGGGCAAGCGCACAAACATCATTACACCACTTAGGAGGTGCATCTTTAATATGTGGGACGAGCCAAGACTGGCCAAGGGCCCTGGGATTCCCCAGCCCACTCCTCAGGGGTCTGCTCCCCTGAGACACCTCGCATCTTGAGCCAGGTGGCAATTTCTCTGCCAGAGGAACAACTCTTCATGTCTATTTTCAACAGCAACACCCCAAAAGTGCTTCTGGTTTTGTGACCTTGAGGAGTCATGCCTGGAAGGCAGTTTCACTCATCAGACTCTTAAGTACATGCCAATTATTTGCCCAGACACAAACTGCACCAGTAACCCCAGCCTGTGTCTAGTTTGGAGTTCAAGTCCTGCATTCCCCACAAGCAGGTTCTTCACCAAGCCCTCAAGGTGCTCCAAATTTCATTAAGGTTGTCAAGATGCAACAAGAAGAGTTCTGGATGAGGCTAACCAAAAGCTACAGCTGTTGCAGGACAAGCTTTGAGCTGATGAAATGGATCCTATCCTACTATGGGCAGGAGGTCAGCACTTGAGATAAGGCTGCTGGTCCAGACCCAGTCCAGCTGCCCACAAGGAATGGCCTCAGACCCACTGGTTACACTGGCTGTGACCTTCGGTAGCACGGCTCCACTGGTGCGTTGCACTTCAGGCCGACCACGTGGAAGCTGCTCTCAATTCACGTGGTTGTTCAGCCACACGCAGGACACGATGGCTCCAGCCGAGGTCCAGCCACAGCAGACTCCTTGGGAAGGGCTGCCCTTGGTCGAAATGGCCCCCTGTACACATTGGCACAGCCTGAGTCCTTCCAGGCTCATACGAGGCACCCTGCAGCTCTCCCGGCAGCTGCGTTTGGGAGCTACCTCGGCTACCTTCAGTGGTCAGCAGCCAGCTAGCACACCCCAGAACAGCTTCACCTCCACGGTCTCCAGGACCAGCGTGCTCAGCAGTCCAGCCGGGGTTCAAATCACTCATGGGTCACATCTGCAGGCAAGGGGCAGCACAAGCACTACTCCTGCTCTGCAGGTTACAGTGGAACGTGCGACCTGCGAAGCTCTAGGTGAGGGACCCACTGTCACCACACCATGCCTGAAGGCACACAGTGGCCATATGCTCTTCGCCTCCAGTCCCGTGGCATCATTCCCCCACGGAGCCTGGCTCTGGTCACCAGGCAGGGGCGGAGATCATCTTCTGCGCACCACAAGCGGACAGGACTCCTCGGGTCCCAGCAGACAGCCCCCAGCACAAGGCCGGCCGGCGAGATCATTTCTAAGATCCTTGGAGGTGCCTTCAGGTAGCACGACTCCTGCAAGCCCTCTCCTGCTGGGGGTGACCTGATACTCCCAGTCCCCATCCCGAGACATCCAGGTGAGCGATCCCTGCAGCGTTTTGGATTCTCCTAAAAGGCCCTGCGTGGCATCAGGCACCAAATGAAACGAAGAGCCACCTTCAAGGCTGCACCCCCTCTGGGACCTTACAGGCAGGAGGCTACTTCAAAGGACCATCACCCCTCCACCCCAGGACAGCCCCAAACACAGGCAGAGCCCCAGCACTGAGGGGCCTTTATACCCCTTGGTGGGGTGTGGCTGCCGCTGATTGGCTGGGACAGCTGACAGGTGGTAGCTCTGGATTGGCTCGGAGTGGTCTGCCTCCCCCTGTGATTGGTGAGCTGCTGCTGCGAAGGGCAAGACAGCAGGAGAGACAGATGGCAGCACGTGGTTGGCTGGGGGGAAGCACTAGGTGGCAGACTGGGATTGGTCAGGCCTGGGTGTTGCTTGATTGTGGTTGGTGGAGGCAGCATGAGAGAGGGAGGGAGCTGTGGGGGGGAAGGCAGGGACAGGTGGCAGTGTGGGATTGGCTGGCAGGCTGTGCTGGTGTGTGGGGATTGGCTGGGGCGGGGTGACTGGGCAGTGGGACTGGGGAGGGGTTCCTTGCAGTGGCCCATGCACTGAGCTGTGCCCAGTCGCAGCCCCCAATGCTGGGGCACCGCTTTTTTTTCCTGCTCTGTGCCCGGGGCAGCATCTGCCCTCTCTGAATGGAAGACACAGGAGCCAGTCCAGAGGGCGGGGGGTTGTGGGGGGCTGCCAGACCCCACCCACCCCCCGGGACCCAGCCATGAGGGTGTAGACACAGCGAGGACCAGGAGCTGTGGGGCTGGGAGTTCCCCCCTGGCCTGCCCTCTCCCCACCCAGGGCCGCTCCATGCCCTACCCATCACCACCCTGTCTGGCTGGGAGGCCAACGGCAGCCTCCAGTTTTACCCCATACCCAGTTTTACCCAAGACCCCTAGGTTTTGGGGGGCTGCAGGCTGTAGGACATGTCCTGCTCTGCAGTGGGGGGCAGTAAGGCCACTGCTCCCTCAAAACCTCCCCCCAGGGGCCTCACGCCAGCTGTGTGTGCAGGGTCCCCATGTGTCAGTGACATGTGGAGCCTGCTCTCACCAGCTCCTCGGCTCCAGAAACTTATTTGAATAATTTGCCTCGCAAATCTGCAAGCACCAGCTTGACTCGCACGTCATCGCAGCCCATCGCGGCGCACGAGCCACGTGCGGGGCAGTCGTGGCGAGGACACGGGCACAGCTTCTGGCGCGGGCCCACGAAGCAACAAC